GGAATCCTCATTGGACCTGCCCTCACCCCCCACCCCCGCTGCCATCTAACTGGCACCCTACCCATCACTCACTGGGTCTGAAACGGTGAGTCTGCCCCTCTTTTCAGGCATGGCTGCCAGATCCCTTGTGGCGGGTGTGTCAAACGGTGCAACCGCTTTGGAAAATAGTTTGGCAGGCTCCTCAAAGTTAAACACACACCTACCACCGTGGGATCTAGCCTTTTACTCCTAGGTTTTCACTCAAGAGAAATGAAAGCCTATGGTCACGCAAAGAGACTTTTACGTAAATGCGCTTAGCAGGCAATCCGCCACTCCCAGAAATTGACCCAAGAGGAATGAAAGCAAATGCTCACAGCAAGGCTTGTGCGCGGACGCTGATGGCAGCTCCCTTTGTAACCGTCCAGGACTGGAAACAACTCGGATGTCCCTCAGCGGGTGAATGGACAAACCCGTTGTAACAGGGCCAGACGGTGGAGTGCTAGCCAGCCACAAAGACGCGTGAACTGTGGCACACGCGGCAACGTGGGTGAACCTCAAAATGATTCTGCCGCGTGAAAAAAACCAGGCAGAAAACAGCGTTCTGGACACACGACCTCACCTGGTCGTTTACCTACTGTTGACTGCTTTTGGGGCTACAAAGGGGGAGCTGAGTAGTCAGTAGCTTTGGGTAGTTAGTAACCCTCTGGGCCTCAGCTTCCACATCTGCAAAATGGGGCTAGGCATACCCGCACCCCACAGGTGGAGGCGTCTGTCACTATGATGCTGTGTGGCTTCATTTATGTTCCTCTTACATAAATGATAGAAGCATGACTTCATCACTAAGCGATTTGGGGTTTTTTTTGTTTTTGCTTCCATAACAAAGCATCTTGGAGGTTCATTCGCATCAGTGCTGAGATCGAGGAATGCTGGGGTGTGTGTGTGTGTGTATTTACATATGTAATGTATTTAACATTTAATATATTCACATATGATATACAAATATGCATTATATAAAATAATAGTTATATATGGGTATATAATGCAATGCATAATGCATATTTGATACATATCATATATAAGCCACTGTACACGTGTACATAAATATATAGAATACACAGCAAATATTTAATACATATACATTTTATATAATACATTTTGTGTGTTTATATGTAAATATGCATGTATTTAATACATTATATACAGCTATATGTATGATCCTTCTTTTTTATTTTAAGTGGGATTTTACAGGCCTTTGGTCCCTCTGAGATTTTCATTCATTCAACAAATATTAACTGAGCACCTACTGCATACCAGGCACTGGTGTCAGTGTCAGGGACACAACCATGAACAGAATAGATGGACTCTCCCCACCCCCAACATGGAGTTGACAGTTTCCGCTCAGCACATTCTTCTTTTGAGTTAGTGATTTAGCGACTTATTTGGGCTTTAGATGCTAAAAGGAGTTTAATCCCAATCTGACTCATGATTTACTCTCATCATTGTTCTGTTTATTAGTAAATTTAAAAGCTTGGTAATAGACTAAACACCCACACACTCAACACCACCAAGATAAACAGAACTTCATGAGCAACTGACACCCCAATTCTCCCCAGCCTGCTCCCTGGGCTCCTCACCACAAAATTAACTGCACTTCTGACCCTGGAATGTACCCTTTCCTTGCCTCCAAATAATGTATCTCTAATAGGTATTTCCCCAACAAATGGTGTTTCATCGAAGTGACTGTAATTTCCTAAAGAGGGATCATGCTGTGTGCAATATTTTGGGGCTTCCTGTTCCATTAAATGTTATGTTGCTAAGTCCATAAACATTGTTTGTTGTGGCTGAATAATATGCTATGGGGTGAATTTCCCATGATGCATTTCTCCATTCTCTCCATGATGGGCATTTATTTGGGTTGTTTTGGGTTTTTGCCTTCTTCCTCGTTGGATTGGTGAACATTCAGGGGCATGTTTCCTGCAGCAACAAGCAAGGATTTCTTGTGGGTATGTATCTGGGAGAGGAAAGGCTATGTCATGCGGCACATGAATGTTGTGTTGTGATTAATGTTGGTCTGTTTTCCAAAGTGGTTGCAGTGTGGAAGAGCCTGTGTACCCACAGCCTCTCTGACATTTGGTATTGTTGGATATTTTAAATTTGGGATGATCACATAGGTATACAAGGGGGCCCTGGTGTGGCTTTGTCATCCTGTCCCTCAATCCCTAAAGAAGTTAAACATCTCTTCATGCACTTTGCTGGCCCACCATGTTTCCTGGTTCACAATAGGGCTGTTCATGCTCTTTGCACATTTTTCTTTGGTGTAATTGTCTTTTTCTTATTGGAACTTTATTCTTTTTAAAACGCTGTTATCATATTCTGTCAGAAGGCTATCCCATTATTTATAGCATGCATTCTAACTGGGGCAAAAATTGATTATGGGGGGGTGAATAAACCTTACCCTACTAATAGACAAAGCAGATATACATTCAGCATGTAAACAAACATACAGTGTATCTGTGGCATTAAAATTTCAGGAAGAGTAATTAGGGGGAAAATGTCTAGGGAAGCACAAGGGGGTAATGAAAAAAGTCTGAAAAACACTGATTCATAGCAATTTTCACATGTATATGGCAAGCATAATTATCCTTGGGGGCATGCGCATGTTCTCCCAAGTTCAAGATAGATTCCCAGAAGTTGGACCATAAAGTCTGAACTTGTCTTAGGCCTCTGCTATGTGTGCCAAACTGTTTTCCCAATTTGTACACACATTTACCTCCAAGCAATTTACGAAATGCCTGTTCCACCACATCTTCACCAGCATTGGGTTTTATCAATTTGAAAATCTTTACATACTTTAATGAGTACCAGGCATGGTATGTTCTTATTGTTTGTTATCCTTTATTTGGCCTCTTTGGGGTTGCACATTTTTTATAGGTTTGCTAATCAGTCTGTCTCTTAAGAATGTTCTGTGTTGGAAGAACTGCAGGGAAGGGGATCCTTGTTATATAGTGGTAGGTGTTCAGCTGAATTGTGTCCTACAGTTGTACAGAAAGCAGAACTTATAAGTGATGAATTTGACTGTTTAGTGGAGGAAAATTTCCAGGCAAGTGTAAGAGGTGTAGCCTGGTTTCTTATTGCTGCTTATACTAGAGTGTGAGAGGAAAGCCAAAGATGGGGGTTGGGGGGAGAACTGTGAGGCAAAAAGGAACCAGGATTGATGATTTGGGAGGTTCTCAGCCTATTCAGATTGCACAAGAAACTAAAATTAGGAGATTCCATCAGAGAACCATCATTACCTACCAACTAGATAATCTTGAGCAAGAGTCTAAACCTCTCTGAGCCTCAGTTTCCTCATCTGTGAAATGGGGGTAGAGGTACTAGCATCCCCCTCATAGGGCTACTGGGAGGGTAACTGGGTAGGCTCATGTAAAGCGCTTAACACCCATGGGTGACCTTGTGGGGAAAGTGATGGGTGGGGGGCTGCTTCTGGGCCCCACTGACCGCCTTATGCATCTCCATCAGGGTCTGGCTGCTATTAACCCCTCCTCCCCTCCCCTCGCTTTCTCTCCTCCCAGGTACCTAATTCCCAAGACAGGGGAGGGATGGAGGATTCCAGTTGAGGATTAACAGAGGCGGATTAGAGTCGGCAGAGAGAGGACAGGGGTCTTTATCCCCTTAACCCTTCCACTGCCAGAGCCAGAGCAGGAATTCCCATCCCACTTCCTTTAGCTTCAGGTTTGGGAGAGAGGAGCCCACCTCCAGAACTTTCCCCCTCCCAGCAGGGGAGAACCATGGGGAAGGCATCAGGATTAGGGTCTGACATGCTGGTCGACCAGGGATAGAGGAACTCCCTTTCTGGGCCTCACTTTTATCTTCTCAACAACTGAGAGCATGTGCAGATGAAGTGTGCGTACCGCAGTGCCCCAGACTGAGCGCTGAGATCGGCTACACACAGCCTGTACTTACTGAACACCTACTATTGGGCGCGGCTGGTGTCCTCACCATTCGCCCGAGATTCCCCAGTCCCCAGTGCGCCCAGCATCGCACCCAGAACCACAGAATCAGCTTCCAGAGTCAGCCATGGCTCCAGAAAGGCCGTCCAGGCCCTGGTTCTCCTTCTGGGGTGCTGCCTGCCCCCACCCTAAATCCTGGCGTCAACCACTGCCCCAAAGGGGTCCCTGAATTCTGGAGTCCCAGTGCGGGGCACTGGGGTCGCAGGCAGAAGGAAACCCGCTGAGGAAGATGATAACAGAATCTCCTCCACCTCATCAGGCCTGGGGAACCCCCCTCCCCTCGTCCCGCAGCTGCGCTCGACGCAGAGCCTGGGCGGGGGGAAGGGGGCGGTGCCTACTCTGCGGCGGTCGGAGGAGGGGCACTGCGGGAGAGCTCTTGGGGTGGGGGGGCTGCGGCACCGCGTCCCAGCCCGCTGCGGCCCGAGCGGCAAGGGCGGGGGCGCTGACCCTGGTCGGCCCGGCCCCTCCCCCGCTGCGGAGGCCGGGCCATCAATCCCGACCTGGGGAGGGGGCGCCCGCTCACCCCACCTATGGAGCTGCCGCGCGCGCTCCCCGTCCCTGCCCCGTCTGGAGCCCCTGCGCGACCCCCAGGGGATCCCCGCCCCCCAGGTCTGTCGCCCTCGATGTCCGAGTCTCTGTCTGTGCTCCCATCTGTCCGGTCTCCCCGCTTGCGTGCTTGTGCTTGTATCCGGGACACCTGCACGCACGGGCCACCGTGGCTGGCGCGGTGGCCTGGGGGGGAGCCCTGGGGGTCGCTGAGTGGGTCTGGAGTGTCTATGATTGTCAATCTGTGTGAGTGTCTAGGCGACACCCTGCAGGCTGCGTATGCGACAGCGGGAAGGCTGCGGTTGTCTGAGTGACACCCCGCAGGCTGTGAGCGTGTGGGTCGCCGTGTGTCTGTCTGGGTGACATCCGCAAGCTGTGAGTGTGAGTCTGTGTTCGCGGCCTCCTACCGGAGGTGTTTCTGTCGGAGACACCCCGCCGAACGTGAGCGGGGCTCCCCGCGCGTCTGGGTGACCCCCTCAGCCTGTGTGTGTCTGTGGCACAGGGGGCGCGAGGGTGCGGGTCCGCTCGCCGCCGTGCCTTGCGTCCGCGTCGGGGTGGAGGAGGCCCGGGCCGCCAGTGTCGCTGGCCGTCTGCGTGCGTGCGTGTGTGGGGGAGGGGGCGCGCGCCGCGGCGAAGGTGGATCCGCTCCCTCCGAGGCCAGCCCAACCTGGGCCCCGAGACCCGCCGCCGCGGCCGTTCGCCCGGCCTGCCCTGCGCGGGCCGGGCCGGGGATGGAGCCGCCGCCGGGGCCGGGACGCCGAGCCGCCTGAGGCGCTGGCGGCGCGCAGGGCCGGGGGAGGGCGGGCCGAGGGGAGGGTCCTGCGAGCTGGGGGGGCGGGCGCGGCGCGCCCCCTCCCTCGCGCGCTCGCGCCCTCCCCCGCGCGCCCTCCCTCGCCGCCTCCTCCCGCCGCCTCCGGCCCCCCCTCGCCGGGGACCGAGCGCGCTCGCTCCGGCGCCGGCCTCGCCTCCTCGCAGCAGCGCCATGGTACGTCGCCGCCCCCACTTTCGTTTTCGCCCGGGGAGTTTTTGGGGTGGTGCGTGGGCTCCGGGCGAAAGTTGTAAGGTCTGGGGGGACGGGGGGTGGGGGCCGCCTGGGGGAGGGGCTCGTTGCGGGGCGCCCCCCTGCCCGCCGCCGCGGGACCCCCGCCCGCCGTCGCCACCCCCCCATCCGGCCGGGGGCGGAGCTGGCGCGCGGGGCGCAGCGGGGGACCCCAGGTGGGGGGGCCCCTCGCGGGCGCCGCGGAGTTGACGGGGAGGGCGGGGCTCCCGAGCGAGGGTCCCCCCCAGGCCAGGCCCCCGCCCCCTCCCTGGCCTGGCGGGAGGCCGGAGGGCGCGGCCCGGGGCGCACGACCCCCAAGAGCGCAGCCCTCGGAGAAGCCGGGGCTGGGGAGGGGGCGCCCGGAGGGGCCGTGAAGGGCGGGGGTCGCGGCAGCCCCCGTGGCGCCCTGGCCCGGGCCGAGCGCGGCGCGCCAGCTAGCGGAAAATGGCCGCTGCGGAGGGGCGGAGAGCGCGCAGCGGCGGCCGCCGGGCGCCTTGAACTTGGAGCCGGGCGGGCGGCCGCGCTGGGCGCCGTGCGGGGGCCGCAACCCCTCCTGCGCTCGCGCCGCTGAGCCCCGCCCCCGGCCGACCCAGACCCCGCCGCGGCGCGCGCCGGTCCCCGGCCGGGAGGGTGACCAGGTTTCCGCCGGGCGCGCCCCAGGCCCGCTAGCGACCGTGGCTGCACGTGAGGGCTCCGGTGTCCGGTCAGCGGGGGTCGGTGGCATCCGCACTGGAGGGGGTGCGTCAGGGGGCTCCTGTGCTCCCGAACGGGTCAGCGCGGGACTCAGGGGATGCGTCCCGGTCGGTGCCGCTGTGTGGTCCCGGCCTGGCCCGTGGGTGCGTGTGTCCCGGGGCGGGGGGTCGCCTGCTCCATGCATCTGTGCGTGTCCGCGCATCCACGTGGCTGCGTGTGTTGTGTTTGGTGTGTGTGAGAGCACCGTGCGGCCTGGGACGGCGTATGTGTCTCGGGCGCCTGTGCCGCGCGTCCCCGTGTGGCGGGGCTGCGTGTCCCCGGGAGCCCTGATGTCCCCGGGTGACTGTGGGGGGATCCCACGTGCATGTGTGGCGGTTAGGGGGTTGCCGGTGCGTGAGGAACTGTGTCGTGTGGCCGCGTCCCAGGGGACAGTGGGGTGTCGCTGTGTGCGTGTGGCTGGGGCTGAGTGTTCCTGGGGATGAGTCTACACTCTCTCTCCCGCCCTCCCAGTTCCCTTTTTCCTGTACTGGGGCTACTGGGTGGGGGGCGGGTGTTTCCTCTCCTTTGCCGAAGCTCTCTCCTTTCATCTCGCCCCCACCCCGTCTCCTTCCCCATTTCCCCCTGCCTAGGGGTCCCCCATCTGCGCAGCCCCAGGTGGTCCGGGCTTGAGGTTCGGGCGCGAGGTGGCGCCGGGACGCGATCACTCGGTGGCGGGGACGTCTCCGGCCAGGGGCTGCGCGTGCGCGAGGCTCTGCCCCGGAGGGGGGCGGGGCGGCAGGAGTACCCCCCACTCTGCCGGGGAGGAGGTCCCGAGGGATGGGTGGTTACAGAAGCCCCGGTCTCCGTCGCGGCCGGGGGTGGCCAAGGAGACTCCCTCACCCCTGCGCTGGGAGCCGCCCCAGGCCTCCCTCCCAACGCCCTCCCAGGATGGGCCAGACCGGGTGGTACAAAGTGTTGTTTTCTCCCCTCTAGGGGAATCCCCGCCGCACCCCATCCGCAGCCAGGGCGCTTTATATAATTTTCTAAATATAAAAGCCCCAAGGCTAGGCCCCAGTCTCTTTTTTCTTTAAACCTGCAATCCATTTTGGGGGGTGGTTTGGGAAGGGTTGGAAAAGGGGCCCCACACTGACACAGGGATACATCCGCACAACCCTTAGGGTCACATAGACCCTGGCAACCTTCCCCCTCGGGCCCCTCCCACGCCCACTGCCAGCCTCAGACACAGCACCCCCACCTGTGCCCTCAGACACACCCAGCCGGTCCTGCACAATGCTGGCTCTGTCCCACCTGTCGCCTGGCGCACAGTGGGACACATTTGTGTGCAACATTCACGAGCACACACCGTCATGGCACCCACAGAGGTACACACGCAACCGCACACAGACACACTCACAGGCTGGTACTTGCACCTATAGGGGGTTGGGGGGACCACCCCATCCTGCCCTCCCCCACCTCCATGTCCCAGCTGCCTTTCTGCAGGGCCTGGGGAGCAAGAAACCCAGCTCGGGGGAGTGGATGGGGACGCTGTAGGGGAAGAGCAGGGGTGTGCCGTGTCGGGTATGTGTGTGTGTGTGTGTGTGTGTGATTGTGCTCATGGTTGTGTGTGCACTTGTGTATCTGGAGTCTGCATGAGTCGGTGTGGGTGTCACGTGTGTGCTGGGTGAGCGTGTGTGCTCCTCGCTGAGGAGAAATTTGAGGCGGGGTGTGAGGAAGTCTGTGTGTGTGTGTGTGTGGGCCTGTGTTCATGGGGATCTGTGTGCTGGTGCTGCGTGTGTGTGTCTGCACCAGCCCTGGAGTCGTGTTCCGCCCTTACTTCTCAAGACCCAGGACCTTTTCATCGCCGCCTAGAACCTCAGTTTCTCACCTGTAAAATGAAAACGCACAGGACCCCCACCAGCTGGGCATTCACAGGCCTGGCAGGGCCGCATCCTCCCGTCTGTGGGTGTGGTAGCTGTGGGGTCACAGTGCACGCTCCGACGGGTCCTGCCTGAGCTATGAGATCCACTCGCTGTTGAAAGTTTGCTTTTTAATTACACAAGCCATTCATGAACATCTAAAGAGGGCACAAGAGCACTTGGTAAAAACGGAGCTTTGCTGCTCACCCCCACGCTGTCCAGCTTTGTCTGAGCAATTGCTCATGCAACAAATGCATATTCCTGCAAAGGATACATGTATATTCTTTTAAAAAGTATCTCAATGGGATCTTGAGTCTACAGGGTGGGTGGGGGGCTGTTTCTCAAGTTGGGGAAGGTCCTGCCCCCACCCCCGGGACCCTGGGCAACGTCACACTGGGGGTGCTCCCGGAATTGAGTAGGTAAGAGCCGGGGGTACTGCTCAGCATGCCGTAGCACCCAGGCCGTTTCTCATAGTGTGGAGCCAGGCGGGTGGGGAAGCCCTGGTTTACAGCCGGCCTGCCCCGTGCGGGTCCTGCCAAGCTAGCTCCCCACATGTGGTTCAAATTGTTGACATTAGCCTTTTAGGGGGGCAGTCAACACCTTGTGCATCTGTATGTGAGTTACACAGAAGCCCAAGAGTGAATTATAGGGAGAGTGCATTTTTGTTTTTTAACAAATGAACTAAATTATGCTCCAAGGTGCCAGGAGCTAAGTCAAGTGCCTGCTTCTGGGCCCTTATACCCACAGGCTCACATCCACCTATTGCTTTTTCAGGGAACCACTAGGTGCAGGGCACATTCTGGTCCCCAGGACGTAGGAACCATTGCTACCCCTTTTCACAGAGGGGAAGCTGAGGCACAGGGAGCTTAGTCGCTGCTGGAGAAGCACTTCAGCTGGTGTTGCTGGGCCTACTGTGTGCACCACAGGGGCTTCCCCCCACACCCACCCACCCGCGCCTCTGGAACTGGAATTCCTTACATATGTACCAGTTCGCTTCTCTTTGTGAACTTGCAGAACGTTCTACCCAACCCACAACAATATTAACAGTCTTCACACAGTGTATCTCAAGGGCCCGATCTCCCCAGCCTGCTGTTGTTACCATTTTACAGGCGTGGAAACAGGTTCTGAGGGGGCTTTCTGCCCTCTGCAAACTTTACCGTCCAAGGGATCAGACGCTGCTACTGGAAGGTTGCAGGCAGGGCAGGGATGGGTAGGCAGCCCGGGCGGGGTGTCACCTGGGAGAATGCTGGTGAAGTCAACTTTAACTTTTCAGCGTCTGTGAACTGGGGAGTCTGTCCTCTACATGTCCATGGCATTCTTTAAATAATAAAATACTGCTTTATGGTATATTGGCACTTGGATTCCTAGACACTGCCTCACTCCACACCTCTTGGGGTTTTAAAAGCCCCCCACCAGTGCACAGTGGGGTTTTAAGAAAACATTTGGGAAGTGTCTCAGTGTGCGCTAAGCACTGTTTGAATAACATCACCCTCGGGAGGCTGGGAAGGGGGAAGCTGCAAGGCCTGAGAACATGTGCTCCCTCCCAGTTCAGTCCTGGGGCCCTGGGCCAGTGGCTTCCACAGTCTCTGGGCCTCAGTTCCCTCCCCTTAACATGGGAGAATGACAGGGTCCCTGGCACCTTCCGTGCCCACTGAGCACAGGGCAGCCGCCCCAAGTGGGCAAGAGGGTATCATTTGGCCTCACGACACTCAGAGAAACATCAGAATGGCCAGGCTTTCTAAGAATGTCTCCATGCACGTTTGACAGAAGGTCAAGGCTCTGCCTAGTGTCACTGTCCTTGGCACACCAGGCCCTTGGGGCCTGGGGGGCAGTGTTAGTCTGCTGTACTGCGGAGCACACCGTGAGAGGAAGCACAGGCCACACCGCCGGGTCTGGGAGGCGGGAGGGAGGGATGCAGCAGCCCTCACCTCCTGGGGGAGGATTCGGGGAGAGAAGCGGGGCAGAGTTGAGACCAGGGTCACCCGGGAGCCCCAGGGACTCAGGCTGAGGCGGGAGCAAGGCCATACCCAGGTATTACAGAGGGAGAACAGCAGAGCTTAAGAGCTTTGAGGTCGCCTGGCTCCAAGCCATTGCGTCTGCCTCAGTTTCCAAATTTGTGAAATGGTCACACTGCCGGGGTCAGGAGGAATCACTGGACATGCAGGGAAAAGGGTGCAAGTGTTTATCCGGTCAACCTGAGGTTCTAGGGGGCCGGGGAGACCTCTAGGGGGCCGAAGCCCCGCCCCCACTCTCCCGTGGGTGTTGGCAGAGAAAGAGCAGATTCCTGGTGACTCCCCGGTTCGCTGGGACCCTTCTGGCCAAGGTGGGGTGGCAGTTGCAGCCAAGCCTCTCTGTCCG